TGCCAGGCTTCACAATGGTTTGAAGTTCTTGGGAAACCGAAATCATTATTCTCGTAAACCGACCAAAGAAACGGATCAAACATTGGTGGCCTATTACTGCGTCAATCACCAGTCACATAATTAATAGCAAACCACTTCAGCAATTCACGGAAATCATCCCAAAGCAATGGTACCAAAATTTTTCTGAATGCGTCAACGATTTCATTAGATGGGAGAAATGAAAGGGCCGCCAACTGTCTTACCTTAAAGCAGTTATTCTTAGTTATACAAATTGACCCGTCCTAATGCCTGAACCCTTCGATAGATAATTTGCGACAAATGAAAAAGGCATGCTTTATTCTGAGCTCCGGGAGTGTTTACTGCACTCATTGCCGCGTTATCGAAGTCAATTATGACAAAGTCTGGTCTAAGAATAAAGCCTTCAATTCCTGCCAATCGCCTTTAGTTCATTAAATAATGCAGTATAGCACAATTCGAATTTCGAAGTCATAAGTGCCCAACAGGAATAATACGCGAATTCACACCGCCAACTTCGCAAGGGATCGAATAAAGCTGACACATCAAACGCCGAACTGTTTTAAACGTTCCATCCATTATCCAGTATGTCGACAGATATAGATGGCGAATATGAGAGCTATTCACAAACAAAAAGACTTTTTCTCAACTTGCACGTCATGGAAAAAGTCCTCCCCATTAAAGGTTTGTCTCAATTCGTCTTCGAGAACCCAATCGACAAGTGTTTGAGGTTCACGGGGAACGTTATGTATCCGAATGTCTTATTCTTTGTCTTAAATTGACGTCTGAAGTGATTTCTGGAATGATATCCGGGTGAACCGTTCGCATCACATCCTGCACAATTTGTCAGGGCTTTTCACGACTACCAGTAGCTTTTCTCTTAGCTGAAAGACTCAAATTCCTATCAATATTCTTCACTTGATTTGGCAAATGTGAATGTTCTGACATCACATCTATTCGATATCTTTTACCAATTGTTGTTGTTGTAGCCCTCCCTCTACATTTCGACGCCTTATACTCTTCGCATTGCCAGAAAATCACATTCGGGTCTTTAGTCCGGTTCTTATTAAAAGCATAGCCATCAATCAATAATTTAATCTGCCCCCTGTTGGACGTAGTTGTCGCGGCATAACGCACTTCCGCTGCCATACTTATGCCTTAATAAACCTCTTAAAACAGTTATTTCAGTCACGCAATAGATAAACCAGTCAATAAACAAAAAACCAAATTTAAGCGGTTGGCCGGTCTTACAGCTGAAGAACAGGAAGTTCTATAACTTTTCAACCAAGGTAGATAAAAAATTTGTTCTTTCAACGCTTAACCAAGTGTTAGACGATGTTCATTTTAAGGTATGCAAACATATTTTATAAAATTAATTTAAAATCTTCAATATAAATTTTGGAGAATATATTTTAAAAATAATGTTTTCTACGTAGTTAGTTGGCATTCCCACGGGGAACCCCATTTCCCTCGTAGAAACACCAATACCCCTTAGGGAGTTGACATTCCCACGGGGAATCCCATTTCCCTCGTTGAAACATCGAAACCCCATAGAAATACATTAACCCTACGGGAGTTTAGGGGTTGTGTCCAAAAACATCGAAAACCACATAGAAATACATTATTGTTGTGTCTTGGGGGTAAAAATGCAAAACACCCGGCTTCAATCCGATATTCCGTTGTAGTTGTGTCTTGGGGGGGGGGATAACAATATAATCACGACATTGTAGGTCAAACCAACGTAGGTCAAATCAACGTAGGTCAAGTCAACGACTCACCGTAGAAACACCAACTCCCCTTAGGGAGTTAGCATCTACACGATTGAGTAAAGTTTGTGTCAACAAACATCGAAATCCCCATAGAAATGCATTAATGTTGAGTCTTGGGGGTAAAAATGCAAAAAACCTGGTTTCAATCCGATATTCCGTTGTAGAGTTGTCTTGGGGGTAACAATATAATAACGACATTGTAGTTCAAATCAACGTAGGTCAAATCATACACAACCCTAACTTTTGCTTCTATTTGTTTTTCATTATATTTCTTTGAAAGAGCATTATTTTCATCACATTCTTTTTGATATGCTTCTTCTAATTTATCTATTATCTCTATATTTTTATTCTTTTGTATTGAATTACTTAACAGTATACCTTTACAATCTAATTCACACATTTTTGAAAATAAGTAATTATTTGTATTATTAAATTGATTTTTCTTTTCAACAGATGCATCTGGTCTATTTTTTATGTAATTCATTCATAATATCATTATATTGTTTTGCAGTTTTAGAGGTAAGTTTATTATTTTTGAATGCTAATATACAAAGTATTATCTAAGTTAATTTTAGATATATCATGGATACCTTGAATGGTATTATGTAGGGTTGATAATGTTATTTGACTCATTTATATATAAAAATTATTTCCATATTTCTGTAGTACCATACCATACTGTACAATACTGTCGAAGCTCTGAGTTGTCAATTTCTCTGTTGTGTATCGCTCTATAGTGTGAACTAATACTGATTTTTTGGCGGTTTCTCTATATCTGTAATGTTAAAAACATTCCCTGTTGTCAACTTCTATGCTGTGTATATCTCTATACTGTGGACACATTTAGCAATATTTAGTGTTATTTTCCGCTCTGAGTTATGTAAAATGTCACAAAATAATAGTAAAATTATAAATTATATTCATTTTTTAAAGAGCATAAGCGACAATATATAAATTATTACCTACTATTATTATTAAGTGCATCTAATTTTGAAATGAAAATTATTTCATAAAATAAAGAGATTAGTCAATTATTGTATAATACATCCTTAGATGGCTATCTGTTTTTGATGAATGAATATTATATTATAAATTATGATGTGCTACTAATTAGTTTCTTAATCAATTATCTATTACTATTGATGAGAAATTGTATTGTATATAAGATTTTATATCGAAATTATATCGAAGTAATTTGATGTAAATTTTCTGCTAATTCGATTTAACAAGTTCAATTATTTACTAAGAAAAAATTGATAAAATTAGCATAAATGTTACAGATAATATGAATGAGATAATATACTATAATTCTTCATTAATTGAATCATAATATCCAATATTCATACCCCGATTGCCAGATATTGGTAAAGTTGGTAACATTCTTTTTTGTTGTTGACATTCCCTGTTGTGAACATTCCCTACTGTGTACAGATTTGGTCTGCATTAGGTCATACACAACTCAGAGCTTCGACAGTACTGTATTTTCATACCATATTAATATAATTCTATACCATAATTCTATACTGTATTTCCATACAATATTCCAATAATACTATACTGTATTTCCATAATTCTATACTATACTGTACCGTATTTCCCCAAAATAAAAATTATTATTTTTATATAAATGAGTCAAGTCTATATAACAGATGAGTTTAGCAAATTGTTAAAAGAATATGATTTTATAAAGAATAGCATAAGAAAATTTTCTAACCAATATAAAATATCGGTAAACATTGTTACAAAATATCTAAAACAAAATATTATTGATTATAATTCAAGAACATTATTAATACATAAAAATCGTGGTTAATGGTAGATTTTGTTTAAGTATTAACTCATTTGGTGCTGAAAAAGTTAAAGGTAATAAATTTAGGCGAAGCCCTCGAGTTTAACGAATTAAAACAATTGAGAAAATAAAAATAAATCCATCTAAAAGTCAAAATTTAAGTGGAAAATCTTATGAAGAAAAATTAAGACGTATGTCACTTTTTAAATAAAAAATAAAGAAATCTATAGGATTGCAGTATCTGTTTATAATAATGTTTCATAACTAATGTTTAAAGGTTTAAAGAATATGTTTTGAATATTTAAAGTTTATATAATACAATAAGAACCTAATGTTAATATGAATTGTATATGAAATGTTTATGTAGTAATTGATACTTAAATACAATGATTGTTATGCATTCCTATCTAACTCTAACTGAATGCACATAACATTATATAACTCGTTGTCTCTCATAACTTAGAGTCACTTATGTAACGGACATCCTCTGATATGTTTAATTAAATTATATTTTATTAGTAGTGAACGCAGTCTTTATTTTTTATAACCACTACAGGATGATATTTTATATAATAAATGAAAAACTACAATAAGATGTTTTATACATAAAGATATAAATAATAATTTTATATCATTTAAAAGGATTTAGAAAAAGAACTTAAAAATGTTAATCACTACTATGAACAAAAGATTCAGACTGCTAAACAAAAATCTTGTAATTAGAAACAATATTAAAGAGCTAAACGACGTTTAATGAACTCTTTTTTATCTTATAATCAAAGATCATGAATAATTAATTCTTTAAATGATGATAGAAACTTTAATAAATGATGCTGAGGAAAACGTTAAATACTTTGTTCAAAAAATACAAAATCGTTGTGTTGTATTTATAATTTAATATATATATATTTTTTAATTTGTGTTTCAATTGTATTTAGTAAAAACTTATTATATTTTATCTATAAATTTAAAAACAATTTAGAACATAGGAAGGATAACATATCTCCTTCAATGACATTATTACATTAAGATATTAATAAAATATCCGGTTCAGGTTTATTTATTACGTGGTATTTTAACCGTACTTATTTTAACATTGATATACTTTTCTATTATGGAAAGTTAAACTTATACAAATGAGTGAAACTTAAAATTTTCTCGCCAAGAGGCTGAAGAATTAAACGCTAACCAACAAATCACTTAACATATTATTATCGTTTATAATTGGTGTCTTTTCCATTCCATAGATGTCATTAGGGGATTTAAATATATCTGATAAATATGTGCTTAATATTTTAATTTTATTTTAATTGAAATTTTAAGTATAAATCTATTCTAAAAAATAAACGGTTATACAATTCAAAAGTGATGTGCAAAAAATACCTTTCTATCAAATGCATTGAATAAAATAATTTAACTGCAAAACTATGACAAAACGTAAATCAATATTCATTTAGACTTTAGTCATAAACTTTTCCAACATTTCTTATTTCAAAGATATGCCATAAGTTTTTATCAATTTAGTTTATTACTGTTTCTCTCACGTAAGCCTTAATCGTAAAAAATTCATAATCATTGAAAAATTATGCATTTTACTTATTTTTAATTTATTGTCTTAATCACCAAATCAATTAAATTGCTATTAAATTGTGAGCCATAAATTGTTGCGCAAATGAATATACTTTTCTCTTTCTATTTGTAATCAACTATTTTATAAAATCTCAAGATTTTATTTTAAAGAATGTTTTTTATCTACATTTCACTCTAATGAGAGATATTGTTTATGAACATTATATTTATTATAAATTGTTTCGTAGAAGTTATTTAAGACTTAATTATTTTATTCTTCATTACTTTGTTAAAGAACTTGAAAAGTTTTATTAAATGCCGAAATAAGTTCATTCCATTTGATTAAAACATAAATATTAAATCCTAAAATCTTATGACTTAAAAAATTAGATTTATTTTAATATATTCCTGGAAAAAACCAAGGATATGTGGTAATGTAACAGTATAGTTTCTTAAGTAACTGCATTCTTTATATTTCAAGTGTAAGATTTGATTGAATATTAACCATAAATGAAATTGATAAAGTACTTGGCTTGATATCTGAAATGATAAGTGACTGTAGTGCCGTGCTAACATTGATATCAAAATTGTATGTCCTCTTTTACTACTTATCAATTTTCCGCTGAAAAACAAGATTAAACCGTAATCCCTTCAAAAGAAAAAACGAATAACGGTTTCGCAGCTATTTTATTGACAAATAATAGTCATCTAAAATTGAACCTCTTCTATAATTGAATTCTGTCACGAAAGGTTTAATATGAGTATATAAGAGTGATTCCAACTGACTCATTCATGCTCACTTCCTCTCTTTAAGTCATACTTATATACCTTTGCATCTCCTGTAAAGTAAATTTTGCCTTCTATTGTGTTTATTGTATTAATCGTATTTATTGCGTTTGTGTCAAATATTAAAAAAAATATTTTACTCGAAAATTGTGTTAGTAAATTATTTTTAAAATATATAATTTAGTAATAAAGGTAAGTTGATATCAATGAATAAGCAAGATGAGGCAGAAACCGTGAGTGAAAAAGTATCGCTCACAACTGATCTAGAAATTCACCTTTTTGCTTTTCAGACCATTATCGAAGTTGTGTGCTTTCAATTTGGACTATGGAGGAAGGCACCCCTAAGAATAATGATAGAGTTGTATATGTAGATTGCTCTGAGAATGACGAAATGTTTGGAGAGAAATTGCAAAGCATTGTGGCATATGCTATGTCAACTATGGGAATTGGGAAGTCCGAGGATTCCGAACAATCATTGGGAATAAAAAACTTGGTGACATCAGTCTGGGGAAAAGATAAGAAAGACAACGCAGAGCTAAACTTCAGCAGATACTGTGAAGGTCTTGGGAGTAAGCTTGGCCCATATGAGCCATACAGTCGAAACATTCGTTTAGTATCAAGAAGTAAACAAAAGATTTTGGATGACATGAAAGCATTGTTACCGAGGAAGGATCCAGAGTTTGAGATTGTAATTTCTCATGCTGCAGAGGAAGCTGCGGAAGCTTTTGAAATGCCAATAACTGAATTTAGTAAATATTTTTACAATACAGCGGCGAAGGAAGTAATCTTGTCCCAATTTGTTGTCTTCAAAATATTCAGAGCAGGAGACAACTTGGAAATTTCACCTTGTTTACTTAAAGTGAAGTCCAAACGTGAACAAGGGAAATGGGTTTTTAATTCATTCAATTGGGCGCAATGTGAAGTTGACATGCACTATGAGGAAAGAAAATACGTCTTAAATAAATTCATGATCAAGCAGATTATCAAGAAATTATCTGAAAAAGATTATGGATTTTGATTTTAGCTTCTGTGAATTGTTTAAAATTTAAATGCAGTAATATAGTAGTGTCTTTTAGTAGTAATTTGGAATTACAATATTGTTTGTGATGATTATTGGAATGACTCAATAAAACCATTAAGCCTGATTTAGTATGTAATCAAAAAAATTTTGACGATGTTCTAACCTTAGCTACACCTTCTCAATATTAAATAAATAGTGTAATTGTGCCTTTTATTACACCATAATATAGTAAACCACCTCTGTTATTAGAGTTGGCGTATTACTTTAGAAACCAACGAAGTTTTTTATATGTATTATAATATTACTTTATTTAATATAATATTTAGAAATTTCTTATTAAAATCAAACTATTGTTTATTTAATATTTTTAAAAATATAATAAGAATAATACTTGTTTGAATTATGTTTGAATTCTAATATTTTATACAATTATTATTTAATCAAAAGCTGTATCGTCATAATTATTAAAATAGAGATCAGGGATATTTAGGTTGTCATAGCTTGTTAACTCTGTTGCTCTGTAGTAAAAGTCTTCGTTTCTACGTTTAATATTTAACTACTACTATAATTATTATTAAAATTACAATTGATACACAAGCAGAAATAATATAAACATTTGAAAAATTTGTTTTATTATTCATTTTATCAAAATCTTAAGTTAAAATAATAGTAAATGAAGTGTTAATATTTGACCATGTGTTTGTGCTAAATCGAAAAGTTCTTGGTACCCATGTTTACTTGCTAAACAGTAATGAAGATTTTGTACCAATGTACTTGTCCTAAGTGGAAATTGAGAAGGCACCCGCTTACTTGTTCTAGGTGAGAATTGAGTTTGTCCTTATTGATAATTGTGTTTTCGGTACCCATTTATTTGTCCTAGGTGGTAATGGTGCTGTAGGCATCAATGTAATTGACCAAGGTGGTAATTGTGTTATTGAAAACTATGTTTGTGTGCTAGGTGGTAAAGTGTATGTTTGTGCCAGTATGGGTTGGTTATGTGGATAAGATGTAAGGTATGTAAGATGAAAAGTATAACATACACGCAATAGTAAATTATGTCCCCCTTGATATTAAATATTTTGTATAATTAAATAATTATATTAGTACTGCTTAATAAATGTTTAATTTGATGATTTGTAATATTTCGATAATTGTGCATTTATTAATCAAGCATACTTAAATAGTGAACGTCAGATTTAGTTGTTAACTGGTGAATCCAATTCATGAAAATATTTTATTAAAAACTGATCTATAATATATATTTTTAAATAAAACAATTTTTAATTAATATTTTCCTGTAAAATTATATTAAATAAAACTAGGATTGTTCAAAATATCATCAATTACAAAGTTAAAAATGTAGTTTTTGAAAATGGTTAAAAAGAAAACCTGGCATTTATTTATCATAAAATTGTCTAAGAATAATGTTCAGGGTAGCATTAAGGCTTTGCTCAAAGATTATAATTTATAATAAAACTATGATAACACTATTTATTAAATAAAATACCTATTCTTAGTCATAAGCTAACATATTATTTTATTTTTTAATTTAACTTATTAAGTTATATATAGTAAGCAAACATTAATTTTTATATGCCTGTTTTATATTAAACCTAAAATTGAATAAAACATTAAGACTTAGAGTTCACATGTTATACTATTGAAAATAATTATATTATCACATATAAAATGTTAATTAGTTTTGAAATTGAAATATGTAAACTAAATTGATTCTCAAAATGGCCAAAAAGTTGCCTATATATTTGTGCCTACAGTATAAATTATATCGCCTTAATGTATGCAACACTGTGAAGCAGTGAATAATTTGTAAATATATAAATACTGTAAATATGAATGCTTTACAGTGAAGTTGTTTGTAGTAAATACTATGTTATATTGATTATAAAACTCCCCATAGGGAGTTGGCATTCCTACGGGGAAACCCCATTTCCCTCATAGAAACACCAACTCCCCTTAGGGAGTTGGCATTCCCACGGGGAAACCCCAATTCCCCCATAGAATCACCAACTCCCCTTAGGGAGTTGGCATTCCCACGGGGAAACCCCAATTCCCTCACAGAAACACCAATTCCCCATAGGGAGTTGGCATTCCTACGGGGAAACCCCATTTCCCTCATAGAAACACCAACTCCCCTTAGGGAGTTGACATTCCCACGGGGAAACCCCAATTCCCCCATAGAATCACCAACTCCCCTTAGGGAGTTGGCATTCCCACGGGGAAACCCCAATTCCCTCACAGAAACACCAATTCCCCATAGGGAGTTGGCATTCCCACGAGGAAACCCCAATTCCCTCGTAGAAACACCAACTCCCCATAGGGAGTTGGCATTCCTACGGGGAAACCCCATTTTCCAAATACAAAGAAACCCCCATAGAAATGCATTAATGTTGAGTCTTGTGGGTAAAAATGCAAAAAACCCGGCTTCAATCCGATATTCCGTTGTAGAGTTGTGTCTTGGGGGTAACAATATAATAACGACATTGTAGGTCAAATCAACGTAGGTCAAATCAACATTTGTAGGTCAAATCATTGTAGGTCAAATCAATATTTGTAGGTCAAATCAACTGTAGGTCAAATCAACGTAGGTCAAATCAACGACTCCCCTTTTTAAAGCATTGAATGAAATTGCTATATACTATTTCAAAGGTAATATAAATTTAAATCCGAAAAAAACGTCAAATAAAAAAGTATAATAGGTTATTAAAGGGCTTGACAAATAAAAATTCAAATAAATCTATCAAGAAAAGACTTATTAAACAAAGTGGTGGTTTTCTTCCGATATTACTGCCAACGCTTGCATCAATTGTAACGGCCCTCATAAAATAATGAATTTCGATAAAATCATCTTGGTTCCATATGGAGAAGATCATGGTAAAGATAATATACTATTAATTATTCTAAAATTAGCAAAGATTAATGCATATGATGAAAATTTATATATGAAAGTTAATAATAAATTCAATAAAAAAGTTAATCTTATCGACTATTTAAACTTGATCAATAATAATACTTCCAAAAAACTGGAACACGAAAAAGAATTTATCGACTTATTGATTAGAGCTAATATCGAACCAGAATTTATCAAAAATGAAAATCTAAGAGAAAAATTAAGTAATAATATCAAGTTATTAACAAATGTATCACCAATAAAACGAAAACTAAACTGGATAAAAGTTGATTAAATATGGATATTGATAATGTATTGACTGGTATTTACTATACCCCAAAAAATCCAAACAGTTTCTCAACTGACAATAAATTATATACGGCTGCCAAAGTAAATTTACCAAAACTTACATTAAAACAAGTTCAACACTGGTTATCAGGGCAATTTACATATACTTTACATAAGCCTGTTAGGCGTCATTTAAAACGAAATTCAATTGTACTAGAATCGATTGATCAACAATGGGAAGCTGACCTGGTTGATATGTAGGAATATAAAAAAATTTAATCAAGGATATAATTATATTCTTACTGTAATTTATGTAATGTCCAAGTTTGCCTGGGTTCAACCATTGAAAAACAAAACTAGTGAAGCTATGGTATTACCGTTTAATAATATATTAAAAAATAATAGGAAACCCTTTGACTTAAGAACCGATAAAGGTAGAGAATTTTTAAACCAAGATTTTAAATTATTATTAAATAAAAATAGTATACATCATTTTACAAGTAAAAATAGAACAATTAAATGTGCAATCGTAGAGCGTTTTAATCGCACATTAACAAGTAGAATGTTTAAATAGGTCGGGTCATTTGACATAGAAGTCATTTGACCTAGAATCATTTGACCTACAAAATTACCTACGTTAAATATTTAAAAAAATTTAGATTTTGGACACACCCCTTAACTTCTCGTAGAGTTAATGTATTTTTATACGAATTCCAACTCTATGGGGAGTTGGTGTTTCTACGAGGGAAATTGGGTTTCACAGTGGGAATGCCAACTCCCTATGGGGAGTGTGTTTCTACGAGGAAAATGGGATGTCTGTATTAAGGAAATAGTTTTAAATATATTTTTCAAAATTTTTTTACAAATTGTTTTAATTAATTTTATACAAGAATGTATTGCCTACCCTGCCTTACATCGAACTCCTCACCTATTCCACTCTAGTGTAGCGATATCCCATTCTAGATTTTTAGATCCATCAATTGTATGTTAAAACATACCAAAACACATTTTCTGACACTATAGCACTGAACTGCGTTGGCTGAGTAATAATCACACACCATCAAGTAGCCATCGAGAGGTATCCCTTGATAGCTCTCTATCACTTCAAATAACTCGAGATGCAGCAGCCAAGGATGCCTTCCAACTTCCGATCACAGTGGTGGGGTTTCATAGATCATTATGAACGTGGGTGTAACTCCTACAGCACCCTTGTCTACCCCAACCGTAGTCATAAGTTACATGCGAGTAGTGCGAGCTCTATCATACCAACTCCAACTATAGCTCGAGAGATGCATAACAGCTCCCTCGCTTTACCAATGCTTTCGCTAACGCACTTAGATTGCACTCTGAAAAATCAATCATATGGCTCCAACAGTCTGCCTCGAGTTCGCACTAAAATGGCTACAAACAAAACTTACAAACTCCTCGTAAATTGACAGGCAATCAGTCAAGTGTGTATTAAAGATCCTTATTGCAGAAGCCATCACAGATTGGTCTTTGTATGAGAGAATGTTAGAGAATGAGATAACCCACCAATCACAGTTCAACACCGCTCTCAAACAGTAGTT